GACCTAAGAGTGCGGGAGGAGATCCATCCTAGATCCATCTGAGATGTGCAGGACGAAGCGAGCAAGAGAGCACAGCTTGTCGATTACAGCGTGGACGGAGGGAGGGCCCGCAGTGAGAGAGCTAGAGGCAGTGTTCTGCGGATGAGTCGTGTGCTGTTACGTGTTGTGCCACGCAGAGCGGTCCAGGGCCAATGAGGCCTGAGCGTTTGCGGCATGAGGCATTAAAATTAGCTGCAGGCGTGCAGCATGCACAGGGATCGTGCGATCACATGTGCATGCGACCTAACGCTGCGACCTCGAGCCTCGACGTTCTGCTCAGGCTGCCGCACTGAGGAAATCGGAGGCATCACATATTGCGCACGGAGCTTGCAGCACTGTCCACCACCCTCGGTATCCAAAAGGCCTCTCCTCTTATGGCTCACGGCATCAAGGCTCGTAGGATTACGCCGAGCCCTGCTTTCGCTCTGTCCTGATCCGACATGGCTGGACAGCCTCGCATTCAAGCTGCACGTTCGCGTTCGCACCCCAACCCCCACCCTCCCATTCAACCCTCCTACCCTCGACTGTAACCTTCTGTCTCCCGCCTTCGTGCTCTCACGCTCGTCACCAGAACACAACCTGTGTTGTCAGTCTGTCGAGAACGGAGGGCGAGATGATAGAGTGAGCTCAAAGGACTTGAGAGTGTCACACGTTCAACTTTTGAGGATGTAGTCCGGATGGGCGGAGAGACGATAGTCAGGGAGGCTGACATAGAGACTACCAAGAGATGTGTGAGAGGGGCGCGATGCATTGTTGTAAGAAAGTGAGCAGTTGGGTTGGTGGGGAGATTGAGTGGCCCTCCTGTAGATAAAAGTGTGGGAGAGTTGGAAGGGAGGTGTCGTGGTCCGGGGAGAACGGCAGATCATGGTGAAGGAGGGCCGCCGAGAGGTCGGGTAGTCCGATGGCGGTGGTTGAGGTACGGTGTGCATCTGAGCAGAGGAGGGGCTACGGTGTGTGTCTGGCATGACTCATCAAGTTGGGAGGGGGACCGGCCCTGAGCCGACCGAAGCGACCGCCCTGGGCTCCGGCCCTGGCGCCTGGGCGAGGGTGCCCCTGAACTCGAGACAAGCCAAGGCTGGCTCAGGCTGGCTTCAGGCTGGCTTCAGGCTGGCTTCAGGCTCGCGCGGCTCGCAGGCATGGCTCTGCCCATAGCCGTGGGCGAAAATACACCCAGCACGGAAATGCAACACCCAAATCAGATATTAAGCCAACCTCTTGTTGACCTCCACCCTGCTTGCCCCCAGAACACGACCCAGACATCACTCGATGGTCCGTCGACTCCGCGTCCACAACGATCAACTCCGCCCCCGTCGCCGCATGTCTGACCGCGACCGACCCCTCCCCCGCACTGCATAACATTCACTCGTTATTTATACACACTCTTAGCCCTCGGCCCAGCCCGCAAAGACACCGCCCGCGTCGTCGTCTCAACTAGTCGCCGCCACCGTCGCCGCACCTTCCCCAGCAAGGCCGCCAACAACTCCCAGCAAAATCACCGCCGACCAGCTACTCCAGTCCAACCCAAGCCAGGACATCAGGACTCTGGACCTTACGCTCGCGAGCTTCCCAGGCAGTCCCCTGCACTCAAACACCGTGACGTCTATCGATAGCACCTATCGTTCAAAGCCGTTATCGCACTTGCCCGCAATGAACGGTGTCACTGGCGGCATTCCAAAACCTCCCGCGTAAGTATGCCAGAGTGGGCCTTCCTTTGCCTTCCTCGTCCCCACTCACGAGCCCACAACCGAACAAGTCCACTGACAGAGCTCCAGTAAGGTCTCCTGCCTTGCCTGCAGAGCCGCAAAGGTGAGTCTCGGAAGTTACTTCCGTGGATGCGCGGCCCCGCACTTGTGCTGACGTCGTCCAGCGGAAATGTTTAACCCCTGACGCCTTCACCGTCTGCAAGCGTTGCATCGACAACAACCTGCAATGCGAGTACAAGAAGCACCGCCGCGGTAGGCGGAAAAAGGATGCGTCTGGCGTTCCTATCGACACCGACATCAGTGGCAGGCTCGTTGGATCCATCGGCTCCCGCCCGACTCCCAGGGTGTCGAGTGGCACCACCCGCCAATTCCATGACCATGACTCGACCCGTCACAGCTCCCACAGTCCTTATGGCCGCGACCTCGACCATGAGCTCGAGCCTTACCGTCACTCTCCGTCGGTCACGACGACGACTGTGACCCCCATCCCCATGACGGAGGAGCAGGCCATGAGCACTCAGCACGGTATCCAGTTCTCCCACGTGGTGCCTGTGCAGGGAGAGCACACCGCCTACAACATGCCTCCTCCCAACCTCACGGCCACTCCTCCTCTCCATGCAAATATCTCGCAAGAGTTCTGCCCTGACCCCGTCATGAGCGGTCTCATCAGCGAGAGCGATGCGTTTGAGATGTTCGAATTGTGAGTGTCTTCCTCGCTCTTACGTATTCAAGTGTCCACCTCAACTGACGTCAGCTATTTTGGACACGTCAACGTGACTGTCGCTGTACTTGACCCCGTGCTGCACACTGCGACTTTCTGTCGCGAAAAGTCGCCCCTGCTGTTCACTGCTGTGCTGACTGTCACTGCAAAAATTCTCAAGCCCAAGGCATACTCGTCCTGTCTGCTGATCGCGAACAAGCTCGTCGGGCAGGCAGTCGAGTATGGTGTGTCCACGATCGAGGTCGTGCAGGCGCTGATCATCCTGCAGCACTGGAAGAAGGCGGATGATGGTAGCAGCTGGCGCAAGCTCGGCTATGCGATTCGCATGGCGCAGGAGCTCCGCCTCAATCACCGTGCGCCTCGTCCTTTGCCGGCGAATGAAAAGCAGGCGCGCCAGGTCCTGAACAGGGAACGCTGCTGGCTAAACCTGGTCGTTGCTGACTACCACCTGGCCATGCACCACTCGCTGCCTCGCATGCTGAACAATGACGATCTCGAGGACCCCTACGAGTGGCAGGTGGATCACCCCCACCTTCCTGTGCCCGGTGACCACCTGTTTGCTCCTTGGATCACCTTCTCCCGCCTGTGCCGTCTGTACGCCGACATGCTCGCCAGCATGTCTGGCAGTCACGCCAACCTGCGCAGCCTTCACTGGCTCGAAATGGAGTGGAAGAGGTGGCGCAAGCGCTGGCTCGAGCGCGACTGCGATTTCCTTCCTCAGCAGATTGCCATGATCAAGATGTGCTCGGCGCTCCTGCACTTCCACATCTGCGAGTACCGCCTTCTTTTCTGCGCCCGCTACCAAGCCAAGAACGACGGCGACACTGTCGACACTACGCAGCCTAACAGTCTGTCGTATGCGTTCGCGCAGTGCAGCGACACTGCGCTCGGAGTCCTCGAGGTCTTCGAAAACGACTTTGTGCGCCACGGGTACCTGCCCTTCTGCTTCAACCTTGCTTGGGTCGCCACGGCTATCGCCTCGGTATGGCTCGTTAAGAACATTTCGAGCATGGACCAGGTCGATCGCGTGCGCATTATTCGCGTCCTGAAGCAGGCTGAGGAGAGCACTGCGAGCGCCTCGCTGTCTTCCGATGATATGGCGGCGTACACCCACCGCCTGCTGAAGCACCTGCTCGGCACGATCAAGCCCGAGTGGCACCTGCAGGCTTCGCAGCCCGGCAGTGCGCTGAACATTTCGCCGCCGGGCGTCAACCTCCAGTTGGGCTCCTCGCCAGGCCACATGTGGACAATGCCGAGCACGACTCAGATGATCCAGGACAACCTATGGAACCCGTCGAACCCCTCGACAAACCCGTTCGAGGACTACCACACGCAGCTGCAGCAGACGAACAGCAACGACTCTTTGGCGCAGGCGTCGATCCACGCCGGAGGACACGGCAACGAGATGACGAACTTCCCGACCGACATGCTCTTCCCCGCTGCCGACGACGACATCTGGAAGCTCCTCTTCCCTCTTTAATATCTCACGATCGTTTCTTATCATTCAAAATTAAATACCGTCCTACCTCTTACCCTCGGACCTCACCGTTCCCGTATACCCCACCACACACAGGCTTCAGGCCGGCTCTGGAGTTGAGAAAAGCGAACAAAGTAGCAAAGTGTATCCTCCTGTAGCTCTAGTATAATCCACAGTCTCGGAATTTTAGCAGAAAATAAATTTACAATGTACGAGTGTAATGAGGTGGAACCGTCTGCGAGCGCAGCGAGCAAGATCATCAGCGTGATCGTCAGCACTACGAGTCTCGTAAGAAGCGTAGGCGTGGTAGCAAGTGGCACCAAAGGTACAGACCAGTGTCAGGCGCAGTCAGCGCAGTCTCAGGCGTCATAGTGGCGCGACCTCTCATTCCTCAATACCCATTCATCGACTCATTAATCACATCACCCGGGTGACCGTCCGGGTGAACCGGGGGTTCATCCACGTTTGTGGCACCCCCAGCGTGCGCAACGGACACACGATGCACCGCTGCCATTCATCCGCCCGTCCCTGTCAGGCATATCAGGAATGAGTAGGTGGCGTCTGGCTCGTGTGGCGTGTGGCGTTCTCTGAGGAGGTGAGGAGGCGTCGCTGGGCGTCCCTCGGCGTCGCCCCGTACCTGTGTGACTGTGCGATGACAGTGCCGCGACCGTGCGTGAGGGCAGGGCCGAGTGCGTCTTCCAGCGGAAGGGCATTACTGGTGCATCTGGTGCGTTCAGGATCAGACAAGTCCGGTACGCAACCGCTCCCTTTACCCTGGGCATTCGGCACACACGGCGCACGGCGCACGGTACGCTGCACACCACGACCAAAATCGCGCGGGCAGACGATTATGTCCGTGACGATACGTGACATCGGCCCTCGGCCCCGATCTACTGGCCCGAAGTGTCGGTGTGCGAAAGGAGGGTGAACTTTCGGACATGTTGGGCGGGGGACGAATGAAGAGACACCAAGTGTATGCAGATCCAACAGGGGAGCGGGAAGGGAATAAGGGGGGAGCGGGAACGTTGCCGCTGCACTGGGAGGTCACTCTGCGTCCCAACAAGGTGTGGGCACGGTAAAATTCCAAAGCTGTTGAATGCCGGTTGCCCAAGTGGTTCGAAGCTCAAATTTGACCGTTGTCGAAATTTGACCGAACCGATCGCGCCATCTCATCCCTCCACCTCCCTCCACCTTTCGCTGCACCTGCAATCGCATGCACAGACAGTTACCGGATCCAGCCCTGCACTTGCAGTAAGCGCCGGATCACTGGGCCAATGCAGAGGGGCAAGAAAGCCGGTATGGCTCGGCGTTCTAGCCCCTGTCCTCCTTGTCTTTCCGCCGGAATGAAAGGAGCGAAGGGGCAGGAGCGGGAAGCGCGGCCTCGCTCAGATCTCCAGATCTCGGGTCCCTCGGTCGTGTCGGGTTCTGAAACAGCTGAAATGACGAAGCGGAGGGCCGCCGGAGCCGCCGGCTAACCCCGGCTCCCCGCACAGCGCAGCACGTAGCGAGCGCAATGTCAGCGGCGCACACACCCTCCCCCACTCAGGCCCACCTCGGAGCATCCTCGGAGCTACTTTTGTTGCCCGCCCCCTTCGTCCAGCCTTCAATCGTCACGCTCGGATCTGGGGGTTCCAGTCAGACTGTCGCCCCCACCCACGCCCCCTGCGAGCTCCCTGGGTATAGCGCCAGATCGGGGTGCGCACCTCTTCATTCTTCTGGAATTGACCGATGGTCATCTAGTTGAATCGATTCGAAAACCCGACACACACCCCTACACCCCCCAAGGTGCAATTGGAAAAGAACGCCAAGCCACTCGGTGAATAGTTTGTCTCGGCGTTGAACGCCGCAAACCTTGCGGATGCCGTGGACAGCGCCCGGGTCTGTCGTGGCACTGGCCTGTGTCTATTCTTAGTCTCGACTTCGCCCACGGCACCCACGGCGCTCACTATGCTCCGTGCTGCGGCTGCATGTTTGCCGAAGGGGGAGCAAGGCTGCATAGCTTGGGGTGGAGGAAATACACAAAAACACCGGGTCATCGCCACATCCCGCCCGCATTCAACCATACTCCATACACTGACCACCGCCACGGTACCGACTACCGCTGTTGACCTCCCCGATGCGTTTGGGAGGGGCAGAGGAGCCAGAATAAGCCCAAAAAGGTCACGACGGGGATCGAACCCGCAATCTCCTGATCATCCGAAGAATCGTAGTCAGACGCCTTGCCATTGGGCCACGCGACCGATGGTGGTGACGCCGAGGGGCGTAACGGGCTGGGCTTGGCGCGGGGGCGAGGGCACGTGCGCCTTTCGAGGAGGGGTGGCTGGTTGGAGGTGGCTGCGGTGAGTGGCGGGCAGGAGACGGCCACGAGAATGAAGGTGGTAAGAGATGGTGGAGCTGGTTGCAAAGGTTGACTGATGCTATGGACAAGGAGGACGGGTCGATCCGACTTAGTCTTCCTCGGCTGTCCCCGTGTGCACTAGCGCCCCAGCGGCAGCAAACTGCGCTTTGACCTCTTGCACTAACCGCTGACTGCGCTGAAACACTTGACCATAAACCGAGTGGCACTTCACAACCACCTCGTGTTATCTCCCTCCCCTCACTCCGCGCCCATCCTTGTTCGCTCCAAAAGGTCTACACGTCTGCAGACATTGCAAAAGGTCACGACGGGGATCGAACCCGCAATCTCCTGATTACTCCAAGCCCCGCGATGTGCTGCGGAGGTGAGAAGTCGTAGTCAGACGCCTTGCCATTGGGCCACGCGACCGATGACAACGCTCACCGAAGGGCCAAGGCGGCGCGGTCGGCGCCGGTGCGAGCGTGGGTGCGAGCTCGGCTGCAATGAGAGGTCGAGTACTCTGGAGGAGTCCTCAACACGCGGGTGTGGTAACGACCAGGTAATGCGAGACGGGGCATTTAAACAGAACGTTCGAGCATCAACGTCCAACATGCCCCACATTCAACGGGTATACAGAAGGAGGGAGCCGGAATCTACGCCCCTATATCCATGTAGAGAGACCGCTCTTACCCGAAACCACCGTGTGAAACGCTGTGGCACACATCAACCCACCACATCTCTTCCATCGCCGTCCTCCAACTCTCACGTAAACGACTTCCAAAAGCTCCGGCAGTTGCGGAAACATGCAAAAGGTCACGACGGGGATCGAACCCGCAATCTCCTGATGTACATGAGTCTCCGAGATGATCTCGGTGACGGAGTCGTAGTCAGACGCCTTGCCATTGGGCCACGCGACCGATGGGAAGGGGCCGTGCACCCCCGGCCACGCCGACGGCGGCGGTGGTGCGAGCGCCACTCGCCGCAAACTGTAAGCAGAAAGTAGCAGAAGCCTTTAAAGTGAAAGGTAGCTGGGTGTATCGCCCAGTTCGCTTGGCTGACTAGTCCGATGGCCAGATTTCCCCGTTTGACACTTCATCTTGACGGCCCATTTTCCGTTCTCCAAGGAACACCTCACTCCAGGCCGCTGTCGAAGGTCGCATTAGCCTCTCTGGAAATCGTGTAGCGGGGTGTTGGCGCCTCCGTACGCGTACGGGCGTTGCAAACGCCAGATGTGCTCCTTCCTGTTCGTATAACGGCTAGTATGCTCGCTTGTCATTACGTAACTTGACCTCGGGAGATCGGAGTTCGATTCTCCGACGGGAAGCACAACAGAGCCGCGCAGCGTCTCCTTTTGGTCTTTTGGAGGCCCAAGGATGAAGGGAGACACGGTGGGCCACCGGGAGGTAGAGGGCGGTGGAGTACCCGCTAAACCATTTCCTACCAGAGTCACCCAAGCTTACCCCTTGAGTTTAAACACTGTGAAGTAGCCACTATGCCTAATCAAAGACTGAGCGGAGCCGTGAGATGCTTACGACGCGCCAAACACACTGCGAGAGCGCAGATTGTAAAATTGTTAAAAACTCCGGCTAGTGCCACACTCGCTCGTGGATCTCACATCAGCTGCGACACACCTCTTATCGTCTTCACCCGTCCCCCACTGCTCATTCCGCTTTTCCAGCACCCCCAGGACGACTTGCACACGCTCAAAAAGGTCACGACGGGGATCGAACCCGCAATCTCCTGATTACCTCAGAACTCCGCGATGAACTGCGAAGATCCAGAAGTCGTAGTCAGACGCCTTGCCATTGGGCCACGCGACCGATGGGGGAGAGCCGAAGGGACAGAGCCACGGCGGCGGCGCGGTGGGTGCGAGCGAACTTCGGCGTCTAATTGCCCGGACAGAGACGCAATCGGTAATGTAAGTGACGTTGCCGCCATCACGCCGAGTGCAGGTCTGCGAATTCGCGGCACCACACTGACGCCCGAAACACTGATCGTCGCGAAATTCGGGGGCATGCTGCGCTACTACACGAGGGGCGCAACCCCGCCGATTATAAGTGGCACCGGAGTGCTCACATCAGCAACCCACATTTTGACCAATTTTCCAGATTTCGCTTTCCCGCCTCCCGGGGCTTCTCAGGACGGCGAACACGATGCAGATGTCAGAAACACGTGGCATCAATGGTGTAGTCGCTATCATACTTCCTTCGGGTTCCTTTGATCCGGATGAATCATCCTTGGAAGTGGTCCCGGGTTCAAATCCCGGTTGGTGCCTCTTTTGCTGCTCCGGATGGCGATTGGAGGGGGGTTGTAGTGTTTTGCGATGTTTTTGAGAGTAATGAGGTGAGGAGGGGGATGGATGAGCACATCAGAACGACCCCGAGCCTGCTTCCTTCAGGCTTGGCCGCGAGCAAGTGTCTTCCGGGAGTCAGTGCATGTTCACATGTTGTAGTGAGGTGGACCACGTACATTCTTGTGCGTACTCCGTCCTTAGACTCTTCTGGAGAACTCCCACCTTCAAGTTCGGAGCTGGGACTGTCAGCGTTCATGTGGATAAGCAGTACCAGTGCCGAGCCCAGCATATTAAAGCCTCAACGCCGGGCTCCGATGGACTGGCAAGACATCAACCTCTTGCGGCGTGGCCAAGACAGCATCAATGATCGTCCTCTACTACCTCTCCCTCCTGGCTAGCGGCCGCCCGCGGCGGCGCCGAACTCGAGCCCGCGCCGCCGGACACCGTCGTCCCCTTCCCGTTCGTATAACGGCTAGTATGCTCGCTTGTCATGACAGACCGCGGGAGATCGGAGTTCGATTCTCCGACGGGAAGCACAGGAGCGCCGAAGAGCGTTGCCTTTTGGTCTTTTGAAGAGCGGAGGACGAGGGGGGCGTGCTGCCGGGCGTGGAAGGCTTAGGTGACTCTGGTGGAGGCGCTGATCTGCAGCAGCCGCGGTCTTTGACCCCACCTTTCACCGAGTCTTTTAGACAGCATACCGGGTGTTTTAGAAGCTCAGCAATAGGTAGCGTCTCATTGCTGGGATCCCACGGCCTCCGAAAGACAGTGAATAGCTTTTGAAGCGAGTGCTTGAAAATCACGAAAAACTCATGTTGGTGCCACATTCACATTGCCCCCTACCACCCGCCGCTGCTCCTCCCCTCGACTCCTCACATCATCTCCAACACGTCGTCATCACTCCCCCAGGGCCCCTGAGCACGCATACAGCTCGAAAAAGGTCACGACGGGGATCGAACCCGCAATCTCCTGATGTACCGAAACTCCGAGATGACCTCGTTGCTCAGTCGTAGTCAGACGCCTTGCCATTGGGCCACGCGACCGATGAAAACTGCGCCTGTGCGCCGAGGGACGGAGGGGGCGGCGCGGCTGCGAGGGCCGACGTATGCTCACTCACTACTATGAGCTTCACGTTCACGGTTGATGCGATATCATGAATCCATCGGACGGTTAGCCGCACGGTGGTGGGAGGGCAAAGAGCGTTCATGGTGGAAGCACAAGTTGAAACATGCGCCCCTCTGCTGCGCCCCTGCACCAACGCCCTAGCTACACCTTACCATATCTTCACCAAAACCTCACTGACTTCTTCCCACTTTGCTCTATCTCGCCCATTCTCTTCCCACCAACACCAAAATAGAGCTCGCGCACGCAAAAAGGTCACGACGGGGATCGAACCCGCAATCTCCTGATAACCTAACGAATCGTAGTCAGACGCCTTGCCATTGGGCCACGCGACCTGTTGAGAATAATTCGGAGAGCCAGGCTACGACGGTGCAACGCGTCGGCGCGCCCCTGCGGCGAGTGTTCGATGATCGAGCTGCTGAACCTGTCTGTAAGCTTGGACGAAAAGCTCTTAGCTCGCCTTGTGCGTGTTGCTGCTTCCTGCGTGAAGCAAAAACGATGCACCTCTGTTGCGCTGTAGGTCAGCTGCAAGCAATGGCCAAAGCAGCTCACCTTGGCGATCTGCCTGTCGAGAGCTTGTCATCGGATCGGAGTTTGTGCTTTGTAAGTCAGCTAGGTGTTTTCGCGTACGCTCGGAACAGCTTACCCTTCTCTCTCAGCTTGTTAGCTTATTATTTCTCAACTTTCAAATATTCGAACGCGCCTTTGAACAGCGAATGCCTCTGTCCATCAGCTGTTCGCTGAGCCTATAGCTTACCTCGATTCGCGAGGTGGAATAATAGCACAGAGAGAGAGAGAGAGAGATCTGCTGGTTAGCTTGATGAGAAAAGCTGCACAGCAAACCTTTCGTCTGTGGCATCGACGTTCACTGTAACGCTCGCAGTTTCTGGACGTCAGCTTCAGAAACGGCGCGCGCAGCTGTGCATACCGTATCTCGGCGCAGAGATGAAGAATACAAACTGCACGTTAGCCTTTCATACGAATGGGTGGGAGCTATCCGTCAACACACCTGAGCAGCTGCGACTTGACAGTGACCATGCACGAATGCTGTGGCGAGCTGCCTGATCAGCTGATGCGGGAGGTCGTCCAGCTCACCATTGTGTCCCCACCACCTGCAACCACTCCAGTGTCTGTTGTGAGCTATCACAGAAGCGTGGGAGAGCTCGTACCCGTTGCCCCCACTTTCCTTGCACCAGTTGGATACAGACGGGGCGTCAATGGGGTCATTCAAAGCGTGACATGACCTGGGCACATCGGCCTTCTGTCGGTCAGCTCAATCAGGCAGACCGCAGAGTTGACCGGGCAGCTGATGACGTGTTGTGGAGAAGAGGCGCTGTCGTTAGCTCTCGGTCCAGATACTACAGCTACCAGCAGCTTGTGGTCGTACCCGCAAACGGTCGGCACCGGAGCGGTCGGTATTCCCTAGTGCGGTGTGATGGACTGCAGATCAGCTAGTGACAAAGACCGCCAGCTTACGAGCTAGGCGCAGGCTGTCCATCCCGGTGTCTGAAGTCAGCTTCGATGCAAGTATCCAAGGCAGCACCGGCCAGCGAACTTGACCCCTCACTCTTAAACCTTCGCGTATCGCAATACTGCAGACGCCAGTAATGACCGGGAGGGACGGTCAAGTCTGACTTGATGCTTACAAAGTCTGGACACGAGCTCACTGGCTCCGTAAACAAGACGCCCAGACGAATGGGAGACTGGGATTAGCTCCACTGCTTTTACTGCTTTTATTAGCTAAGGAGATTCACGTCGTCTGTGAGAGCACTCACCTAGCTCTGCATTTCTGGCTGGGCCGGAGAGAGCCGTGGGATACGTGTGACACTGCGTGTTAGCTATGGCTTCATTTGGTTCGAAGCTATCAACCCATAGTATAGTGTTGCCACCGAGAGGATGGGCCGCGCACCTGATATCATCCGCATCCTGCAGACAGCTCATAAACAAGCGTGCAGCAGCCACTCCCTGTGCTCCCCACCAAGCTCGCACCGTGCTGGGTGCCTCTAACAGAGGCATTCATGTAGCCGGAAGGCTCTGCGAGTTAGCTAATGGTGCCCATAGCGGTAGCGAACCTTGCGTCGCCGCTCGCAGTGATTCCGCCTCTACCAGCGTGATCCGCGGACTGAGGTCAGCTCGCCCATCCGAGTGACAGCTACCTTCTGGTCGGTGCTCGAGTTGGATGGTGGTCGTCAGTGTGGGATGTTGAAGTGTGCGGAGGGAAGGCAGTGTGAGTTGACGTGTCAGTGTCTCAAGTTTCAAGCGATCGCCGCGGCATCAGTTCGCTTGCGCCCCAACGGTATCCAGAAACCCTTCGTTGCATGTTCGTAGTTACAAACTAAACTTCTGTTCTCTTACACTTGGCTCTAGCGCCTTTTCGCCTCGCCTCCCTATTAATCACCGAGTCGTCCCACTCGCGATCCGGCCTTTGGCTCAATCCCAGCTCGCTCCGCTCGCGCTTAGAGCTTGCAGCAAGCCTTGTCCTTGCCCTCGTTGACGGGGGCGTTGTCCTCAATCTCCTCGCTGGCGACCTTGAAGAGGGTGCTCTGGTTGAAAGCCTGGGTGGAGGGGGGCACGTCGATGGCGGGGCTGCGTCCGAAGAAGTCGAAGGGCTTGAGCGAGATCATGTGCGTCTCGACGGGCATGACGGGGTAGTCCTCGACACGGGGGTTGTGCGTGAGGCCGAGCGTGTGCCAGACGACAATGTCCTCGTTGTCCGTCTTGTCGTCGCGGCCGACGTACGTGCGCATGCCCTTGGCGTTGCCGTACGACTGGTTCGTGTACTTGCCCGCGGCGTAGTACTCGCCGTCCTTGTACTTGGTGACGTAGACGTGGTGCTCGCCAAACTCGGCGCGCGCGTACTGCACACTGTCCGGGTGCGCGAGCATGAGCTGGCTCGCGGCGGGGACGAGCTTGTAGCCCACCGGCTTGCCCGAGATGGGGTTCTTGACGTTGGGGTTGACAATCTTGAACACGCGGTTCTTGTGCGGCGCAGCGTCGGCACCGCCGGAGCGCGTGATGGGCGTCTTCTCGACAGTGTAGCCGACACCCCACTTGTTGTTCTCGGGCGGGTTCTTGGCGTCGAACGGCATCGGGACAGAGTCCTCCTGCACCACAGTGTTGTTGTGGCCGTCGATCGCGGGGTCGATACGGATGCTGAACAGGTGCTGGTGGTTCGTGCCGAGGACACCGGGGGAGACGACGTTGCCGTAGGGCGACAGCTCGCCGGGGAGGATGGCCGCGGTGGAGAGGATACCGGTCGCGCGGATCTCGAGGTGGACAGCAGCGGCCTGGTCGAAGCGCCAGTTGAAGATGTACTCGTAGTTAGCGACAGTGAGGATCGTCTGCAGGATCAGGATGCGCGAGCGCGTAACAGCAGGGCGGCCGGTGCGGTAGTTGGTGTGCTTCCATCCGATGCCGTCGTCCTGCTCGTGGATGCAGACGACGCCCTGGAGCGTCTGCGTGTCGCCCTTGACGTCGAGGTGGTCAAAGTCGAGGTAGTGGATCTCGCCGAGACAGTCGCAGCCGAGCTTGAGCTCGTTGGCAGTAAGACCCGCACCGACGTCGCCGAGGTCGAACGCCTGCTTGCGGTGGAAGGGCGCACGGGGGTCGCCGTAGGGGACAGTCATGTCCGAGACGGAGAGACGGTAGAAGGTCTTGCGGCCGTCGTAGCGGATGTCGGAGAGAACGAGACCCTCGCGGTAGTTGAAGCCGATGTGCATGCTCCACTTCTGCCAGCGGAGAACGCGGCCCTCGAGCGAGAACGAGGCACCCTCAGGCTGGATAACGCGGTAGGGGCGCAGGTCCTGGCGGAGCTGAGTGCCAGAGGCGACGAGGAGCTCCGGGTCGTACTCGTTGCTCTCGTACAGGTGCCACGGGAACGGCTCCTTGAGGTCGAGGAAGGTCTTCTCGCCGGTGCCGAAGATGGGGGTCCAGTCGATGCGGACGAGAGAGAAGTCGTCCGAGCTCATGACGGGAACAAGGGGGAGGGGAGCGGAGTAGTGGCACGAGTCGGGGTTGCCGTTCGTGTTGGCGTAGACCATGAAGGGTGTGTAGCGGTTCTTGCGCTCAAAGTCGTCCGCGCCGTAGATCCATCCGTCGGCGACGACCTTCCAGTGCTTGGGGAGGCCGAGCTTCTCGATAGCGGCAAGGAACTCGGGGTGCTTCAGGAGGGCCTCCTCGGCGGCGAGCATCTCGGCCATGTCGGGGGGAACGTGGAGGTCGGTCGGGCACTGCACAGCGCGCTCGACCTTGGCCTCGCCGTCGAGCGAGACGTAGAACTCGTACCAGCTCGTCGAGTCCGGGCGCTTGACACCGGCGAGACACTCGGCGCGCCTCGGCAGGCGCTGGACGGGAAGGCCCTGGTGCCATCGGTCGAGCCAGGGGGCGAGAACGGTCTTCGGCGGGTCGATGAGCTGGATGCTCTTGAACCAGAAACGGTGCTCGCCCTTCTCCTGGGCGTCGACGTATTGCTTGATCGCGTGGGTCGCGGCGCGGACCTCATCCTTCGACAGCGGGTCGAGGGGGTGGTAGCCCTGAGTGGAGCGCGCGGCCTGGGGGCCGCCGGCTCCGCTGATCGACAGGCCGGCCGTCGCGGCGGACAGAGAGGCACTCTTCGACATGGTGTGTTCGCTATGTGGTGGTGGGATGTGAAGAGAGCGAATGTGGAGAAAACATGACAGCGGTGCGGGGCTCGGTCTTATGTATCTTTTCACGCAGGTGTGGGGGCATGTCTCGGGTGGTCACCTGGAGATGCGATCTGAGTGGGCAAGCCGAGGTACGAAAGCTTGCGAAGCCGGACCCGCCGTCATGTGGGCATGTGGTGCGGGGACGTAAGGGACAGTGGGGGCGATCAAGGACCGATCGCGCAAAACCCGAGCTTCAGACGGAGGTTGATTGGTACCCCGTTCGACTTATCGATAGAGCGCGCTGGTTGGATGTGCATGCGCGCGAGCCCAGTGGGCAGCAAGCGTGCGCTGAGCCTCGTATCACGCGAGCCTTGAGAACCTGCCAGGCGGGCTTGACGAGAGCCGCGTATCAGAAGCCACCATCTTGGATGTCCCGCAGGTATTACCGCTTGCTTCTGGGGGGTGCGAAGGTTCGTCCGCTGGCACGGATGCGTCGCCGTGTGCGCCGGGCGCTGCTGGCACCGCGCTCTGGAGCCGCGATAACCGCAATCTCCCATGTCATGTTGCTAAGCCTGGCACGTTTTCTCAGCGCTCCACCCTGTGCCTCCCCCGCCCTCGCTGGGTCCACCCCCAATCATGGTACTGCATTCCACTCGGCGTCACCCGACAACGGACCTCGGCTGACCCTAAGTTCGCCTCAACCGAACTTCGCATCGGAGCTCGCGAGTCACGTGCATGGCCTCTCAGTGGTGGAGAGGAGGTAGACACTCCGCTTCGCTCGCATCACCCGAACTCGCTACCATATCTCCCATCGCCCGTCCTGCTATCGCAGCGATACCGGCTGTACCGACTAGATACTGACTCATGAGTTGGTGTTGGTCCTACTTGGTTGCCGCGACTGGGGCCGTGAAAGCGGAATCGGGAAATGGTTCACCGAGATCAAGCCTGATGGGTTCCCACAAGCTGGTCCCATGTCTAATCTGTACATCCCCAGACGGCTATCTTGTATCTTGTATCTTACAATCTCTCTATGCCTATCATTGTGACTAACCGATTATCGCCGGCCGTCCAATCTCAATTGCAACCTCGCGCCAGTTCGAACTCTCGTCGTCGTAACCCTGGTCGATGCGCTTCCACATCTCCTCGATGATCTCGCGCGACACCTCGAGCTCATGACAGCATTGGTAGGCAAACGTCTTCATGACGCCGCGGGCGACGTTGCGCTTGTCAAGATCCAGCAGCACGGAGCAAGCGACGATCAAACTCCAGTTGAGGAACTCGACCTTGTCGCCGACTTCGATGCAGAGCTCGAGGATCGCCGAGGCACTCGACTGCACATCGGCATCGTCGCGCCCGCGCTTCTGCATGTCGCGGAGCAGAATGATCTGCATCCCGTGCCAGAGCGTCATCGAGCCGATCATTGTGCGCGGCGCCATGTAACGAGCAGGTGCCTCCGATCGCCACGTGGACATCTCGACCTGAACGTTCGTCAACTGGCGCGAGAGCTCCATGCGCTCCATGGCAGCCGGGCTGTGCAACGACACGGCGGGATCGAGTTCGTTTAGCGGTCGGTAGTGCGCCTCGAACTTGCGCCAGCGAGAGTAGAGCGTCAGGACGGTTGCGGCCAGGCGAACCATCGACCGGTCGAACCCAACCAATGACTCGAGACTCTCCCACTGCGGTCAGCCACAAACGCCTCGATGCGCTCCAGGCCCGCAAGCCACTCACCTCCCGATCTGTCGAGCCTGTTGTTCCGAGAAGCTCCCACCACGACGAATCCTGGTCGAGCACCGTGGGAGGGTCGCCCGTCGAGAAGCACGAGAGGAGGTCGTGCATGACTGCGTGCTCGATAAGGTATCGGCGCGCAGGCGGTGGAGGCTTGATACCATCCAAGAACGCATCGACGCCTCGTCGGCTATACTGACGCCAGTCGCGCCCAAAGAGCAGATTCCCGGCGCCACCACGGTGTGCGATAGCCGCCTTGGCATAGCGCAACGGCTCACGCCAGGAGACACTTGCGGCCAGGATCTGGTGTTAGCTCAGTGGGCGGCTTTCGAGCTTACATCATTGTCCACAATCATGAGACTGGCTGCGAGGAAGGCGTCGTGCCCCAGCTCTCCGGGCGTTCTGCGGGCTTGCCGCAGCAGGCCGAGGGCGGTATGGCGGTAGCGCTTCGAAAGTTCGAGTGTGTGTTCCGCCTCGCTCGACCGCGCCGCGGCTTCAAAGAAGCTCAAGTGGGTCGCTCCGATTGCTAGCACCGAGTACTTCAGGGCGCTAACGCTCAATGGTGCTTCACCCGACGGGAAGAGGAACATTGGAGCGAGGTGCTCGATCCACGGGTTGTGGTCCTCGTCGATGACTGTGATGCTAAGTGCGTAGCTGAACGCATGCGCAAGACACTTCAAGTCCTCGGGCTCGGGGAAGGCATGGCTGAGGAACTCTGGAGGCGAGATGTTCGGGTTGTTGAAGTAGTTGCCCATCTTTGTCTTGCGGAACAGAGCATGCACCATTTCCAGAGGCTGCACCGAATCGAGAAGGCGCCTGCGGTCGGCGCGCGGAGGAAGGTGGATCGACGAGTTGCGGAACGGGCCTTGGTCGTGTGAGGGACCGGCATGAGCGAGCTGGTCAATCTGGTTCAGCGGCGGGGAAGGTGTCTGGCGGGGAGGAAGGAAGTTGTCTTGATACGCAGCAGCAGTCGCGGCCATGTTGGACGGGCGGTTGTGCCTGCTGCCAAGGGCAGCATCGACGGCCTTCGGGTCAAATGCCTTCTTGACGGGGTAGACGCATTGCGCCGAGTAGTTGATGCAACGACGGCACTCTGGTCGCTCTGAAGTTGTCAGCTCTGTGACAGGATGTGGGTAGCTCACCAAGGTCACACTTGATGCGGCGTGCACGGCAGACGAGGCATCCGTTCCTAGAGCGAGTACGCTTCGGAGGTGGTGCGGAGCTGGAGCTGGCCTGGTTGTTTGCGGATGCAGGATCCGGGTCGCGCTTTGGCGGGGAGGTGGGAGAGGTGGAGGACATGGGATGGAGAGGATGACCAGGTAGGTGGCCAAGAGGCGACTGTAGCGAGATAATGATCAAGGACAAGTCGAAAAGAGGATGTTGACCAAAAGTCGGGGCGCCAGAAGTCCAGTCAGGGGGAGGGCGGGTGGAGGCCAACGACAGCTTGAGCAAAGGACGTCACTTGATAGAGCAGAGAGGGGCCTCGATGCGCGGTCTGTGCACCAGAAATGGAATCAGAAGCTTACGACCCATACGACACGAGCGTCGCTCTATGGCCACCCCGCCCAGACACCAGGTTGCCTCGAGTTGCCCCACTCCACTGGCCCCGCTTGTGACTTGCCCGAACCGCGAGAGTGGAGGGCTCGGCCTCGGTTCACTCGCCTAAATTGACCTCTCCCGGCGTCTAAATGCACGCCAACCCTGCGAGTGCACCCTCGGTTCCTCGGACCATCTATCCCTCTCATTCGATCTTGCACGCGTTTCACATCGTCCATTTGACCTTTTCTGCCATCGTTGCCAACGTCCTCATCCCCCCGAACGCGGCCTCAGCAACTGACTGGTGCAACTCGAAGCCTCATTCACAACTCGGCGCCAGCCTTCTGCAACCTTCTCTCAACCAATTGCTCCCGAATTACCGATCTTGCGCGTGGAAGCCAAACGAGGCTGCGGATCGTATGCTGCATTCGTTTTCCATGCCAAACGGGCAGCAAACAGGACGGTCTCTGCGTGAGCCATCGCTCTGTTACTGGTCTTCTGGTCCAACTACAAGGGAAGCATGGTTTACCCGTTGCCAGCAAGCTGCTGGAAGTCAACAATGCTTCGAGCGCGCAAGCGTACCAGCAGCCTTGACGACACCTGCGGCGGACTTGTCTTCCTCCGCATTGCGTCTGCGACCCGTCATTCCGGTCGCCAGGCGGTAACTTGACCATTCAACGCTAAACACACGGATCTCAGAGTGTGCTGATTCAGATGACTGACGCTGCGCCGCGAGGCGCTGAAACAGGAACCAGTGGAACAATGCTGAGGCGCAGGCGAGAAGCAGAGCTAAGCGGCGCGTGATTCCAAAGGGGCGTCAATGCCTGGTCCGGTCCCGCATGCGATCGTTCCGGCTCTCAGTGGCCTTCCCCGTTGCTCCACGTCAACTTCGTGCTTGAGGCTTTCAGTTTCCCAGCGTTTTTCTCCTCACTTTGTGAAGAGTCGTTCATTGCAACTCGGCATCCTGGCCAGGTAAGCCGCTGTAAGCGCTTCTCTAGCTGACATCCAGGATGCGTTTTTGATCGGCGTTTGGAGGTCGTATGGCTTTGGGCTCGCTCTCAAAGGAAGTCATCCCCCCCGCTCTTTACTTGAAGTCTTCTGCCCTACTTCGAGGGAAGATGCCTGACTTCGGCTCTGGCTCTGGATCTCTGGAGAGCTCAAGCTCGCTGGGGACGCAATAACTATCACCACCCCTACCCCTCTCGTGGCTGAAAGGTGCTCACCTTTCCCTCATATCTGTCCCGCTTCATCGCCTTCCTTCTGTCGCTTCTGTCGCACACAGATGAACCCAGGGAGGATGGGCTGAACCGTCGAATCGCGCTGGGGTTCGGGAGGCGCGGGACCTCACTCCGGCGAGTCACTCAAATGTCAACCGGTCGCGTGGCCCAATGGCAAGGCGTCTGACTACGATTTTCGGAGTTATCAGGAGATTGCGGGTTCGATCCCCGTCGTGACCTTTTTTGTTTTGTTTGGGACTTCTGCGAGGCTGAGATGAGGCAGAACGGAAGATGGGACCGCTGCGAATAAATGAGAGCGGTGAGTGAAGAGATTTCACTATCTTGTCAGCGATTGAGGGGCGTCGGAAGCAGTTTTTGCTTATCGCTACGCCCCGTACCTCGCTCCGATCAACCCAACCAACCTTCAACGTTCGTCTGTATCCTTCTTGCTGATCACTGCATCACACTGTCACTCTCCGCGCTGACAGCAGACGTTTCTCCGATGGCGGCCACGTGCCGTCGCACCCGCGCGGATGGCGGCGTCTCCCAGCGTCGCGCACAGTTTTCATCGGTCGCGTGGCCCAATGGCAAGGCGTCTGACTACGACTCGATGACCGAGATCATCTCGGGTATTCAAGTATATCAGGAGATTGCGGGTTCGATCCCCGTCGTGACCTTTTTGATGCTCTGTGCGATGCATGGGGCTTAGAAATCGGATGGGGAACTGATGATGAGTGTTTTCTGTGAGAGGGTGGGTTGGCAGGAATGGAGTGTGGCGTGACTCCGTGAATTCGTCAGGTTTCAGAACGCGCCTGATTTTGTAATGTCGCCGGTCTGACGGATGGGCCATTTTAACCCAGCTGCCTGAAGATACTGACGCTCCCACAGAGGACTCGTTGGGACGCCCGGAAGGCTGTGCGGGCTCGCAGTGCGACGTGTGTGCCAGACGATTTCGTTGTCCGATGCCGTCGGACGTGGGAAGATCGAGTGTGTGGAGCCGTCGACTCTTCTCGCTCACAGGTTGGGTTATGGTAGTCGCTCATGCAACAAGAGGCTCAGTTTGGCGGCATCGACTGCACTGACGGTGAATTGATCGACTGCTCACCATGCTCCCTCCGGGCTTCCGTTGCTGATCGAACAATGCGACCCCGATGATCGACCGGCGACGCGAACTGCCCATTGTCGGCATCTCACCACACCGCCATCAGTGTGCCGTCGCGCTACCTTTGTCCCTGGCATCTCTCCTCCTCGTCGCAACCTCGCCACCTACACACTCCAAATGTGCACTCAAGTTGTGTGTCTGCCCTTCCCATGTCACCCCGCCTTCCCACGGGGCTCGGCGAGCGCAGCGCTGGGCGAGGAGGGATATAACGCTGGCGAGGATGTTCCCACCATCATCAACACCACTCACCGCTGACGCCGACTCACCATCATCGTCAAGCATCCGCTAATCTCTGCGATCATCAAGGACCTCTTTTCAACATCAACTCCCAAGGTCCCCGAGCTTTGACCTTCTGGATCAACTCGATCGACACACCTAAACCAACAACTATCCGCCATGAGCACCCCTCGCCGCCTGGCGAAGCTCCCGCAGCGCAAGCCCCGGCTTGCCGCCAAGTCCAAGGCCACCCCCGCCGCACCAGCCGTCACTCCCGCGACGGCCACCGTCTCGTCGACCGTCTCCTTCGCGCACGTCCTCGACGCGCAACAGGCCATGATGTTCGGCCGCCAGCTGGACATGGAGGGCGATGAGGATCTCATCGACCTCCGCATGTTCATGAAGGAGGCGCTGGACGCGCACGACTCTGCCGCCGGTCCCAGCACCAGCTCTACTTCGGCGCCGGCGCTGTACCTCAACCGCTCGCCCGGGGACACGGAGCGCGACGATGATATGGAACTCTGTCGCGGCTCGGACGACGAGGCAACGCCCCTTTCCACCGCTCAGCCCGTCATTGAGTCTCCCGCTGCCAGCGTCTATCAGCAGTCCGAGGGCGAGGAGGAGATCGAGTACCACGGCGACTGTGACGAGTACTTCGAGGACTTCGACTACGGCTATGCTTCGGGCGATGGCACGCGTGTCGTTGACAGCCGATATGACTACACCGACTCCGAGGAGGAGGACGAGTCCGACCCCAAGTCTGCGGCCGACCCCGAGTCGTCCATGCCTCCTCCTCCTCTTCCCGCCATGCCGCCTCCGCCCGTCCCCTCCATGCCTCCTCCGCCTCTTCCGCCGCCCTCTCGCGCGTACCTCAACAAGCAGCCCTCACCCTTCACCGCCCACGCTGGCCCGTCTCGCGCTCCCGCGCCGGCCGTCTTCCCGGACTCTATGGGCAGCTTCCACACGACCGCGCCGGCCGTCTTCCCTGGTGCTGCCGCTCGTGCCTCCGCCACAGTCCCTTCGTCGGGGCCATCGTCGGGAACTCCGGCATTCTCTTCCGCCAGCCCCATCATGCTCAAAATCAAGAGCGCTGATGTCCAGGCTGCCAAGCAGTACTCGAAGGCGAAAGGTAAGGGCAAGGAGGTCGAGACGGGACCGCGCCGACTGGCAAAGCTGCCCACGCGCCGTGCTAAGTCTGCCTCTATGGAGGGTGGCACCCCGTCGCCTGGTACTGTTGAGACGACTGCCGAGGGCACCTCCCAGCCCGCAGCAACCACCCTGCCCAGCACTTCTCTCGGCCCTGTTGCGCCTATGGTCGTCGAGCCCACCACTCCTGGGCCGCAGCCTACTTCCTCTGCTCCCGACACCGCGACTCCGATTCCCACGGCCTCAGTCTCAAGGCCCACCCGTCGCCTGCCTACTAGGCGTTCCGCTCGTCTCGCCGCGCTGGCTGCCTCTTCGGAGAACGTTGTCGCTCCTCAGCCGACCGCGAAGGGGAACGTAAGTCAACAGTTGTGGCGCCTTAGCTAATCACCCAACAGCAGCAGAGCGTCCTTCCCTCTGTTCCCAGCATCGTGATCACCGAACCGTTGGAGCCCGCTGTGGCGGACACGGCCACCGAGCCTGCAGCGTATGCCGATCCCTACGCCACTCTCCAGGTGCCCTCAGCCACTGCCCCTGCGCATGTTGCCGAGCCGAGCACACGCCCCCTTACCCGCGAGTACGACTTCTCGCTGCTTCCCAATGTCGCCTTCGATGTATCGGGCACCGAAGACCCTTACTCGTACTACGCCGGCGTCAACGTCAACAACATCGACTTCTCGACCTTTGACTTTGCGAGCCTCGACTTGTCCGAGTTTGACTTTTCGACCCCCATCACTCCCGGCACCGCGGACCCGTACCTTGACTCCTCGTACTCTGACGAGTCCACGCCGCTCACCACCGAGCAGTTCCAGAGCCTGTACAGCCTGACGTTCTCGGACACTCCTGAGCAGCCGAGCAACTTCCTCTCGTCGCTCTACCCGCCCACCGCCCCGTCCACTACCGCTTCCTCCAGCGCCCCCAATGCGCCTCTCGGTGCTGTCAGCGGTGCGCAGCAGGGCTTCCCCGATGGCCTCATCGACCCGGCGCTCAGCTCCCCACTCGTCACTGGTGGCGTCGGTGCTGGCCACACCGGTACCAACGGCGACGCGATGGATACGGACGGTCCCGAGCTGACTCCTGCCGAGGTCAACCAACTCCTCGCGATCACGAACAACCTCACTCTCGGCCCGACCGACGCTCCCTTAACCAGCGACAATGCAGTGAGCATCGTCGCAGACCCTTCGCCCGTCGCCTCCGACTTCGGAGCAGAACTCATGGCGACCAATACCACCAGCACTGCCGAAACCGGCGACGCGAGCATGGACCTAGAGGAATACCTCAGCACCCTCTCGCTGACCCAGCTGCAGCAGTTCAGCACCTGGATCGGAGAGCAGCAGGCGATGGAGCTTGAGACTGGCGCTGCTGGCGACCTCTCCACCGCGCAAGTCGATGAGCCCATGACTCAAAGCGCCCGTCTCCAGTTCGTCGACGCCACCCAAGCCAGCGAGCCCATCACGCTCGACGACATTGCGCAGGCGCAAACGTACCTTGACGAGCACCTCCCACTCTCGACCGCATCGGAGTCGATCGCGGTTGACACGGACAGCCCTTTGTCCATCACGGCCGTGGGCGAGGCTGAGGCCCAGGCCGAGTTGCAGGGGCTCTTTGCCGGATTCGGAGGCTTGTCGCTGGCCGCCGCGAGCGCCACCGACACTGCCGGCCCTATCCCTATTCAGACCGACGCCGAGCCCGTTACAGTCGTCAGCGCTCCGGAGAGCATGGAGCGGGAGAACATGGACGTGGCGGTCGATACTGCAAGTGGTGCGACCATCACTATCCGCGACGAGCATTCCGCGGAGGTCACGTCCATCGCTGTCGTCTCTCACGCCGATGACGTTGCGCCCGTGCCCGAGACTGGCGCCACCCACACCACCGAGCCAGTCGTTACCAGCCCCGACGCCGCCGCCACTCCCGTGGATAACACCGAGCAACCCACCGTCACTCCCCAGGACGACGCCCCGCAGCCCACCGCCGACACCGCGGACGACCTCACCCGCACCCTGCACAGTATGAGGATGTCGACTCCCGCGCCTGATGCAGCTCGGGCCGAGAACGACAAGCCTACCGCGGTCGACGAGACTGACGCAGCCGTCACCGTTGAACCCTCTAGCCACTTTACCGTCGACACTCCCGTCGACACCACCACGCCCGCCATGCCCGCCGTTCCCGACAGCAGCAAGAACAGCGAGGATTCTGGCTCTCCGGTTGACAAGAACACCAGCACACCCGACAGCACCAGCGCGAACGAGAGCGCCAATGTCCACAAGAACACTGCCGATGCCACCGACCCCGCCGCGGCGGACGGTGCCACCACCAGCGAGGCGGTCAGCACCGCACCCCAACCACTCGACGACGCGACCGACACCCCTGCACCCGCCAACGCAAATGTTGATCTTCTCGCCGAGGTCGAGGCCAAGATCGCAGCCGCGCTCATGGACAGCCTCGTCGAGCGCTTTGCCGCTTTCTCAGCCTCCGATAACGATGACGACGCGGCCGTCGAGGCCACGCCGACCGAGCCCGCGCCAACCCCGACCGCCGCCGAGCCAGACTCGACCACGTGTGCAGAGCCCGCCGAGCCTGTTCTCGCCACCGATGTCGACAACAGTGTCAACGCGGACGCCGAGGCGACCCCAGACACCGAGCAAGAGCAGGTGGCCCACTCCCAGCACGAGTCTGCGGACGACGAAGTCTCGTCATCGTCGGAGGAGGAGCCCGAGACCAAACCAGTCATCTCCGAAACCGCTGCCGCAAGCCTTCGCGCCCGCTTCCGGAAGTGGATCGTCAAGCCGGCCGAGCCTGCTGTCTCTGAGGAGCAGGAGGAGCAGTCGGCGCAGCAGCCAGAGCAGACGACGCAGCCCGCAGGGACGGAGCAGCAGGAGTTCGACTCCGAGAAGCCACAGGAGCTCGCGGAGAAGGACGACTCGGATGACGATGCTGAAACCGCGGTCAAGCCCGTCATCTCCGAGGCCGCTGCCGCCAAGCTTCGCGCGCAGTTCCGGAAGTGGTCCGTGAAGCAAGCTGAGCCTAGCATCTCTGCGGAGCCGCAGGATCAGCCAGATCCCGAGGAGCAGCCAGAGCCTGCGAATCGACAGAAGCTCGAGGCGCAGCCGGAATCGCCGGTGTCGCCTCAGCAGGAGCGATCACCTACCATCGAAGAGCCCTCGCCAGAGAAGTCTGAGGACGAGAACGCCGCCTCCAGCTCCGAGCACGCCCTCGCCAACCTTCTCGCTCGCTTCCAGGAGTGGGGCGGCCTGAAGCAGGCTGACACCAGCGTCTCCGAGGAGGCACTGGCTCAGCACGGTTCTGGCGATGCGGTCAACAAGCAGGCTCAGGTCAGTGCTGTGACCGCCTCCGCTGCCCCCGCCGTCAAGCTTCGCGACCGGTACAAGCACTGGCCGCTGAAGCAAGTGCAGTCATGCATCCCCGAGAAGGTGCAAGCTAAGCCGAAGCCCAAGGGGTCTGAGGAGGAGAAGAAGCTCGAGCAGCCCGAGAAGCCTGAGATCGGCAACGACCGGCAAACGGCCGAGCGCCCCGCTGCCGAGCTCCCGGAGACGGTCGCAGCCGACCTCTGTGCCAAGGTCCGCGCCTGTGAAACGGGTTTTCCCCCATCCGGCGATACCGACGGCGCGGCTGCGGACGTCACGACGGGAGCCAGCCCCGAGGTCCAGGGTGCCTCGACCGAGCTGAACTCGGAGGCGGGAACGCGAACCGCGGCCGAGGACGTCTCAACCGACTCGGAGTCTGACTCGGACAGTGACGAGTACGTCACTGCCTACGAAGGATCAGACGGCGACTCAGACTCGGACGACAGCGAGGATGGCGGGTACTGGACCGGGTCGGAGGCTGAGGACTGCGCCGCTCTGTACACCAGCAGGGGTGTCAGCACTCCGCAGCGGAGCCAGACTGTCGTCAGTCCCTGCGAGGACGAGAAGGAGGAGAAGAAGGAAGAGGAGAGTCGCGAGGAGTCTGAGGCGACCGAGAAGCTCGCGAGCTCGGCAAAGCCTTTCATCGGATTCCCGACGATCGAGAGCGCCGCGTGGACGGTTGGGAGGTGGCGTCGACCTAAGCCGGCGCGACTCTGTCGAGAGGGGCTCGAGAAGCTGAAGAAGGAGCGGGAGGCAGACTGGCGCGCCAGTGGCCGCCTGAGCAAGAGGTCGGCTGAGCAGTTCTCGGCCTCGGCCGGCGAGAACCTCCCTGGCTTCCTCGTTGCTGCCTACTTCCCCGAGGCGCAGCCCCCGAAGCGACTTCACGTCGCTGACAGGTATGTTGTCCATTCACCGTTGCCCCTGCTGACCCCGCCAGCCCGGAGCAAGCGCCGGACGAGCTCGCGAGCGACTCCTCAGGCGCGGTGCCGCCGGAGGACGGGATGCTCATCGACGAGGATCTGATGGAGGACGTTCTTGTTGAGGAGGGCGAGCTAGAGGCGCAGATGGATGAGGAGGAGCAGATGGAGCAGGAGGAGAGGATGGACCAGGAGGCGGAGGCGGTGGAGGTTGACGGAGAGGGCGACCACGCCATGTCGGACGCGACACGCGCGAGGAGGAGTGGGCTGGACCCCCGCCTTGTGGCCCTCCTCCGCCCCGACTCCGCACCTCTGCACGCTGTCCGCTCGCCCAGGTCAACCAGCAAGCGCCACCACCCTTACCAGTGGAGGGGGGTGGCGAAGAAGGCCACACCAGGGCGGCTCCGCGGTCCCTCGGCGTCGCGAACCGAGCGAGGCTTCCTCGCCCGCCTCACTCTGCAGGCGGTGAAGCTGCTCACCGCCGTGGGCAAGAAGGCGGCGAGGGTGACGCGCAGGCTGAGGCGTCTCTCGCTGCCGAAGTTCCGGCCAATGTTGCTCCAGACGTAGTCGCGCCGGACCGCTGGGTCGGAGGAGGGAAGGAGCACGGTTAAGCACACGGCTCCAACCACCACCCAACGCCATCCGTGGAGCCTGAGCGAGACCGTGCTTGAGAGGGGCTCCGAACGAAAAGGAGGGAGAGAACGGTACACATCGAGCGGTCCCAACCACCTGTAGCAATAACAATAACAACGAAAGCAAGAATTCCTCTATCGACAATACTGTAACAAGAACTGCAACTGTATCAACAACAAACGTACCGTAACAGACAGTGTATCAGCACAATCCACCATTGCCAGGGTCCCGGGGGAACAAGAACGACAACGCGCGCAAGCTCTGAGCAAATCACATCCACACGAACCAAAGTCCCGGCGCGGTCAGCATATACTCAGCGAACAAGGCCTCCAACGCCACCATGTCTCCGCTCGAACCACTTTTTCTGCATGAACAAGGATTCCGTTAGATCGAAGCAAGAGCACGATGAACGAGCATGAACATACATCACAACGAGAACACGGGCGCCAACGGGATCATGATCGACTCTACGCACAAGTTAAACTGCAAGGACAAACACTCGGACGCGATCGAGCGTCAGCAATCATTGGACCAGGCGGATGCACACGGGGGCCAGAACCAGACGAGCAACCAACCTCACATAGGACCAGCACACACACCCGCACGAGCCCGAGAACCCGATCCATAACCATCTCCCCACGGAGGTCGTTCAACCCAGCACCGAACAAACATGCAGCCGTAACTAGCACTAGATTAGGTGGCAGAGGAGCCAGGACCTTAGAATGCATCTATCACAACGTTGCACCGAAATCCGCCGCAATGCCACAGTCTTCCGCCACCTCAGGCACCCACCTGGGTGGGCCGGCGATATACCGCAAATGCCGGAGGACGAAACTGTCAAATTGGTTCCGCTTTGCGGGGCAGATTTGGTTCCGTCGTGTGGGGTATCTCGAAATCCAAACTGTGCTACGAGAGACATCTCTTACACCTCAACCCACACCACCACCACCAAAAAACAGACAAAATGGGCGAGCCTCTCGTTTTCAAGGGATCCCTTGCCGGCCACGCCGGCTGGGTTACTGCCATCGCTACCTCCAGCGAGAACCCCGACATGATCCTCACCGCTTCGCGTGGTACGTACGAAAAACGGCTGCTTGGAAAGTCGCTGGGCGAATTTTTCGAGCGGTGAAGGAGCGACCCGCTGACATCTCACAGACAAGACCATCATCGTCTGGCAGCTTACCCGCGACGAGTCTTCTTTCGGTTTCCCCAAGAAGATCCTCCACGGCCACAACCACTTCGTCTCTGACGTCGTCATCTCGTCGGACGGCCAGTTCGCCCTCTCGTCCTCGTGGGACAAGACCCTCCGTCTCTGGGACCTGAACACCGGCCTTACCACCCGCAAGTTCGTCGGCCACACCGGTGACGTCCTCTCGTGAGTATCTTCTGCTGGAACTGGACGGGCTGCGGGGGCTATGCTGCAAGTCGCATGGATTTCTGGGATTTTTGGAGCATACGGACCAAATCTCTGTTTAGCCACGCTGTAATTGGCTCCCCGCTCCTGGCCAGCAGTTTCGTTGAAATCTGCGAGTTCTAAGCTGACCAACAGGGTCTCGTTCTCCGCCGACAACCGTCAGATCGTCTCGGCCTCGCGTGACCGCACCATCAAGCTCTGGAACACCCTCGGCGAGTGCAAGTTCAACATTGTTGACGACGGCCACTCCGAGTGGGTCTCGTGCGTCCGCTTCTCGCCCAACCCCGTCATCCCCGTCATCGTTTCGGCCGGCTGGGACAAGGTCGTCAAGGTGAGTATCTGCAATGGTTGGGAAATGATGATTTGTATTATATTTGCTACTTCAGAGGGCTTGCCCGATGAGACAACACTATCCACCAAGATCTCTGATCCCCCATTGAACCAGCTCCTTTTGACGGGAATGATAGCTGACAGAAACAGGTCTGGGAGCTCTCCAAGTGCAAGCTCAAGACCAACCACTACGGCCACACCGGCTACATCAACACCCTCGCCGTCTCCCCCGACGGATCCCTCGCCGCTTCCGGTGGCAAGGACGGCATTGTCATGCTCTGGGACCTCAACGAGGGCAAGCACCTCTACTCCCTTGAGGCCGGTGACATCGTCAACTCGCTCGTCTTCTCGCCCAACCGCTACTGGCTCTGTGCCGCCACCGCCTCGTCGATCAAGATCTTCGACCTCGAGTCCAAGTCGATCGTCGACGACCTCAAGCCCGACTTCAACGAGCTCTCCGAGAAGGCCCGCAAGCCCGAGTGCGCCTCGCTCGCCTGGTCCGCCGACGGCCAGACCCTCTTCGGTGGTTACACCGACAACCTCATCCGCGTCTGGGCCGTTACCGTCTAAGACGTTTATCTGTAGTCATGCAGAGTTTGTGGTGGATAGACACTTGTTTTGGCAGGGGCAGTTTGGGCACCCCGAGCGACGCACTAGACAGCAGTCGCTATGTATGAACACTCATCATCAGCACGTATCAGTTCTCAGTTGTCAGAAAAGTTCGAGAGCAGACTCACACCGGGAAAACGGGAATCTACACTCAGCAAATCAGAGTGCCAAGCCCTCTGCACGTCTGATAATGCCCGTTGTACTATTTAGTGCTTCTACGAAGCAGCTCGTGCATGTTACAGACGCCGGCGCTCGCACGTCTGGCGCGGTCTCCATGCAGAGGTTCTGAGGAGAGAATATCAGTTCACGATAAATTTGCTTCCGTGCGTCCAGATCCGGCGGCAGGCGGCGGTGGAGGTCACTGAGATTTTGGCCACCTGCGCTCACAAGACACGGGTCGTGTCAACATCAACCACCACGACGACGATAGACAGACATGCCTCACAAACGTAGGTGTACAGTTGCGAAGAACGGAAAGTCAGCTGACATGAACAGGAGCGAAGCGGTCTGTGCGTGAGGAGGCGCGGAACAAGAAGTGAGTCTGCTCGGCTGTGTTCACCCTCACCGACTCTCGATCTCGAAGCGCTGCGTTCATGATTTCTTAATGGCACCTGCGGGTAGCCAGCAGATGATAAGATTTGGAGTTTGCGCTTTGTTGGATTCCGGAGGTGTTGAGGACTTGGCCGTGGACTAAGCAGCTGTGTGGCATGTACCAGAAGCTGACGATCAGGGGGTACAACCTCGCGCCCTCCTCCATGAAGGACGACACGCCAAAGGGAGCTCTCCGCATCCTGAACGCGGCCAAGGTCCAAGCCGCTTTCAGGAAGCAGGGTCGTGTGACTTCGGAGGACACCGGCGAGCACACTCTGAAGCGGAAGCGCGGCGAGGAGAAGAAGGCGGCCAAGTCCTCCGACGACTCCAAGGCGAACGAGCCCGCGAAGATCCGAACAGAGGCGGACAAGGAGGCAGCGAAGGCGGAGAAGGCGGCCAAGGCCTCTGGCGAGGAGGGCGGGAAGAAGAAGGCCGGCAAGCCCGAGATCCCCAAGATCGGCCCCAACGAGACGTTGGGCGAGTACAACCGCCGCGTCGAGGCGCTCATGCGCGGGAGCGTGAATAAGGCGATCAAGTCGGCGGAGGCGCTGAAGGGGCAGCAGATCCAGGCCCTGAAGGCCGAGAAGGCGGCGCGTCGTGCTGCAGCTCAGGCAGGTCTTCCGCCGCCCAAGCCCGGCTCCTCGTTCTCGTCTAACCCCCTCCCGGCAGGCGCGGCGGGTAAGAAGGAGCCCTCGCCCTCCCCCGAGCCCGAGGAACGGACGTTTGCCGAGGCGCCGCAGCGCCGCCGCCTGAATGACATTGCGCTCGCGCCCCCGCAGCTGCCCAAGATGCGCCAGGCGAAGAAGACGCCGAGCGAGATCGGCTCCAAGATCCCCCTCAACGCGGGACAGAAGCGTATCATGGAGGAGGAGCGCGAGCGCGTCATCCGGATGTACCGCGACATGAAGGCGAGGAAGGAGCAGGAGAAGGCGGCCGAGAAGGAGGAGAAGGAGGCGGAGAAGAGGAAGAAGAAGAAGGCGCGCAAGAGCCAGTAGGACGGCCGAGCTTTGTTGTAACCATATATCATTTAGATGGCATCTCATACCATGTTCAATCGTTCGGTGCGTCATTGGGTGCGGAAACAGGAGGGTGGTTGTCCCGCCCGCACAGTCAGCGATGCATAGGGCAACTAGGCGCATGCAGTAAAGCGCCTCGATCTCTTGCGCGTTCGTCGATCATCACCATAGCACACCATATAGGCCGTGCCGGCAGTTGCTGGGCCATCAGAGGCGCGACAGTGACGCCCAGGAACGACTCGGTTGCCTATCGCGGCTTAGCGCGTCACGGCGCCTTTGGGTTGATCCGCAATCTCATGTTCTCTCATGTAGTTTGTGATCTCGTGTAACACGGCTTCATATGATACGTGATACAAATAAAATGCTGCTAGCAACCCTCGACGCGACGACTATTGTACGACGTTTGTTTACTCGAGCTGGTCGAGGTCGGCCTTCTTGTCGGCCTTGTCGTCCTTCTTGTCGGCCTCGTCGAAGTTCTCGACGAGGTCGGGGATCTCGTCGTCGACCTCACCGTCCTTCTTCTCACCACCGGCCTGCTGGTTGAGCTGGGCCTGGCGGGCAGTCAGCGACTGGTAGGACTCGGCGAGACGGCGGAGGTTAGCCAGCGAGTCAGGGCCGAGCTGGTTGAGGATACCAGGGACGAGCTCGGTGAGCTCCTTGTTCTGGCCGGGGCCGTAGATGGCAAGGGTGTTCGAGGGGAGGGCGGCCTGGACAGCAACCTTGGGGGCGCCGAAGTGAAGAACGTTGCCGTCCTCCTTGAACATGTTGACCTCCTCAACACCGGCGATGGGGGTGACGCCGAGCTTCTTGAGGGCAGCCTGGAGCTTGCGGTCGTCGCCCTGGGTAGCGGTCACGGACTTCTTGACCTGCTTACGGCGGGGAGTACCCTTGCCGCCTGTTTGTGTTGATAGCCGAAGGAGTGAGCATGAAGCACGAAAAAAGTCGAGAGGCGATCATTGCGGTAGCGAACGGGAGCACGAGCGAGTCAAAGAAAGCACGAATGTCAGTGGACGGTCCTCCTCAACAACAAAGTCACGCGAACGCACCAATGCGGACCTGAGCCTGGAGCTTGGCGAGCTTCTCCTTGTCCATGATGATTAGTGGCGGCTGTAGTGTTGAACGCAGAAGAGGTTGATTGACGAAAGCCGGTTGACAGATGACGTGGTGAAGTTCCGGGGCCGGTTGCAAGTGAGACCAGCAGGCACACGACGATCGTCCGGAAGACCAAGAATCCAACAACAAATTCCCAGCGCGTGCACGTTCAGTTACAGGTCGTTGAAAAAAGTCGCGAGGTCATGCGTCCGAGGTAGTGACAGGTCCAGTGTCGCGAGATGGAATGCGTTCGAAGGTCACGCGAATATAGGTTCGTTTCATGGCAGGATCGGATCAAGGAAGCACGGCGTCAGCATATTACGCGCGGTTGTTGCACCGGAGCCCGGGAAAGTCGTCGCGCCCAGTCGGGGCTGAATGTCCGTCGTCTGCGCCGGGGTCCTTGGTGCCGTGTCCGACTTACAGCGGGTCCGTTTTGATGGTAGGGAGAGGAGAGAGAGTGGTGGGTGGTGGCTTGGGTTGAGCGACTTGGACTTGGCTGCTAGTCGAGTGTGTGGGCTGGGCTGGGCTGGCTGCGCTGGCTGCTGGCTGGCTCTGGCACAGTGTCGCGAGCTCATTGGAGATCCCCGTCACCTGTTCACGGCAATATCGCCGACCACGTGGATGTGGCACTAGCGCGTTTGATTTCCCTTCTCAACCACACCCCTGCCTGTCGTACCTGCCCGATCGAGCACCAGGCGTCAACAACAACATTATTAGTCTTCACATGCATCTCGTCTCTCTTCTCACCACACCACCATTCCTTCTTCCTCTCTCTACCCAACTCCACCCCGCCACTAGTCTCAATCACCCATCTCTCCTGTCCTTCCGCTGCTTGCATCACCCTCTTGTCTTCTTGCGCGCACCCTCACTATCCTGCCCTGCCCGTCCATCCGACTGGAACCCGCCTTCCCTTTGACGACCGGCAACGGGGCCAATCGGTCACCTTCAACAGCACGCCACCATGTTTATGCCCCAGTCCCAACCGCACCACAGCCGCTCCTACGGTGCACCCTCGACCGTCCGTCGACGAGGTGACAAGGAGAATGCTGGTGCACTGCCGTCCAAGACCCCTAGTCGTAATGCGCTCAAGCAGGTCGCCGGACCATCAACCGGACGCATGCTCGGGAAGGCGACTATCGACCGGAATATTCTTGCACCGAAAAGCGATGCCCCTCCTCCCAACGATGACATCAAGCCCAAGCGGCTATTTGCAAACGTTCAGCCACCCGCTTCGACGACGCGACCTGTGAAACCTCGATCCGTTAAAACACCCGCTCATGCAAAGACTCCTGCCCCTTACCGTGATCTTGAGCCTGAGCCGCAACCCACTCCCCTTCCTAGTGCGCAGCGCACGCGTCGTCGATCCCGCAACTCGCTGGTCCGCACCCCCGACCACCAATGGGATCAGGAGTTGTCGTTGGACTCGATCGCCGAGGTCGAACTGGAACCAGCGGCGGCTCCGGCTGTCGAATCCGATTACGAGCTCGAGTATGCGCCGTCACCTATCAAGGAGGTGGCCTATGTCCCGGAGTGGGCTGACAGCATTCCTGACCCTATCGAGACCATGACGAAGCTCGGCCAGATGCGCCCCATGCTCTTCGTTGCGGCTCCTAGCCCTCCAAAGGCACTCCAGCCTGTCCCGATGCCGACGCTAGATCTGTGTGACGACGACGAGGTTGAGGAGCCGATCCTCCGCAAGGCTAAACCCGCTCCGGTGGCTCAAAAGTCCAAGGCCGCTCTGACGTCGAAGCCCGCCAACCGGCCCCTGGCCATTCGCGGCCCTAGTGGCGCTGCCAGGCCTGGCGCACCTGCTATTCGGCCCACGGCTCGCGCTCCGGCTACCACTCGCACTGCTGTGGCGAAGCCTGCTCCTGGATCGTCGGCGACGCGCCCTCTCGCCTCGAAGACGGCCACCTCTCTCCGACCAGGAACCACCACCAAGCCCCCGCCCACTGCGCGCTCTGCGCCGCTCGGGGCGGCTCGTTCCACTGTCACCACTCGACCCGCCGTAGCTGCCGCTCGCACTGCGTCGGCTCCGCTCAAGTCCGGTGTTCGCAGCGTTCTCTCGAAGACAGAGACACGTACTACAGCTACGCGTGCCGCTCCCGCTCCTTCCGCTCGCAAGCCCACCACGGTGGCCCCGACCTCGAAGCCGGCTGCCCGCCCTGGCGTCAAGCCCGGCACGGCAACCCGTCCCGCTCTCGCCTCCAAGACTGCTGTGCGCCCCCCAGCTCCCGCTCCTGCTCCCACTCCCTCGTCGCCTGTCCCCGAGTTTGCCGACATGGAGATGAATTTTGGCGTCCTCGACCTCGACTTCAGCGAGTTGGAGCCCAAGGTTCAGACTCCACCCGCCATTGACCTTGGTTCTGAGCTCATGGATCTGCCCCTACCTGCAGACGAACGCGAGCAGGCTACCAAATCGGCAGAGTCTGAGTCTGCTCCTCCTTCCGTGGTGCAGGCGAGCGAGCTTCCCCTCTCTGTGGAGCTCGGCCAGCCCATCACCGCTGAAGCGGACATCGCGAGGCCCAGCGCTCAGGATGCTCCTGCCCATGAGGCTGAGTGCCTTCCTGTCGAGGCAGTCTATTCCCAGCAGAGCGAGCAGACAGCTCCCATCGATGCCGCCAACGTGGCTGAGCGCATTGCCGTTGGCCAGGCCGGTACCGCTGACAAGGTCGTCGCTGTTGACGAGCCTGCCGCTGCTGATGAGCCTGCCATTGCTGATGAGCCCGTCGTTGCCGCCGAACCTGGCGCCGCCGACGAGCTTGTCGTCTTCGATGAGCCTGCCGCTGCTATCGAGTCTGCTGCTGTCGATGAGCCCGCCGCCGTGGACGTCGACGTTGATGGGCCGGCTTTTGATCCCAAGGAGCAGCCTGCCTCCGGTGAGCCTGTCACCACCGACGATACTGCAAGCGACGACTTCGAAGCTGTGGACCCTGCTCTCGCCCCTGCGGTGCCCTCATCGAACATCGCCTTCGACACCATCCCGGAGGAGCTGGAGCAAGAGCTCGACCTTGACGTGAACGCGCTCGACATCAGCGAGGACATGAGCCTGGAGTCTATCCAGTAGCCGCTCTACCAGCCCGTCATCACCTGCGCCCCTACCCTCGCCACATATCATCATCTTGCGTCACATCTCACTGTTGTAATGTCTCTCTTGTAAAGGATACTCCAATGTTCATTGTTTGCACTGTTTCTTACTCCTCAAGACGATCACAAAGCCATGTCTCACAATTCCGGCCAGCACCCAATAGACATTTTGTAACTAAATATGCATTGGATCCCATGCTGAACGATACCCCGCTACGGACGTTGCTCCTGCTTGGCTACTGATTGTCAGGCTAGATTTAGAAGATGGGTGCGCTAGACGGGCCCGAAGGCTGCGTCTGCTTGTAGATGCTGGGCTTGGGCTTGGGCTGCTGCTGCTCCTTATCGGCGTCCTTGCCCTGCTGGCGGGGCTTGTTGCTGCCAGCGCCGGAGCCATTCTCCTTGTTTCCCCCGCCCTGCCTGCCGTTGGAACCGGCGGGACGCCCGCCGCGTCCCCTGCCACCAGCGTTGCCGGCCGGCTTGGCCTGGCGCGTCTTCGGCTTCTGGACCTGGAACCCGTCCTCGTCCGGACCGCTGGGCGCGCTGGGCGCGCTGGGGGCGTCCTTGTCCTTGGGGTCCTTCTTGGGTCCTCGCGGACGGTTCTGGCGCGGCTTGCCCTCGCCTCCGTTCTGGTTCTCCTTCTTCTTCTGTCCTCCCTGACCTCCCTGACCTCCCTGGCGCTGGGCCTGGCCCTCCTTCGACTGCTGCTGCTGCTGCTGCTCGCTGCCCGACGCAGCGGCGGAGCCATTCTCCCGCTTGGCGCTGTGCGGCTTGCGCTTCCTAGGCGCGCGCTTGCGCTCGCGCTCGCCCGTGCTGCTCGCTGGCGTCTCGGCCCCGCCTCCCTCCAGACGTACGGCCTCAAGCGCGTCGGCCGTCGCGTCGATCTCGGGCGTGGCCGCCGCACCCGTCGAGAACGCCTCCTGCATGCGCGCGGCTGCCGTCTCGTCGTCCTCGGCGCCGTCGGCTGCCGTCCAGTCGAAGCCGGTCTGCTCGTGAACCTGGGGTCAGCTTGGCTGGCTATCACCGAAGCGGGAGGACGGTGAGAGAGGAGAGAAGGGTGGGGCGGAGGGGGGGACGTCGACGGGGACGCTTCCGGGGACAGAAGCAGGCTCGACGACGACAAAGTCCGCCTCGGCGTTGTCGGGGATCGCGAGCTCGTCCTCCTGCAGGAAGTTGAGCGTTGTGCGGCCCATGCTGACCGGCGCCTCGAGCGTGACCTGGACCGCGGGGTCTTCGGCGGGCTCCATCGGCGTCTCGGGCACCTCGACCTCGGGCTGGGCGAGCAGGACGAGGAGCTCGTGCACGCGCGCGTCTGCTGTCAGCTCATCTGCCGTATTTTTAAAAGCTGCCCCTCGCTCGGGAAAACTCACCCTCCTCGTCGTCCTCGTTGGGACCCGTCGCAAGGCCGCCAAGCACGTTCTGGGCCGCCTTCCCGCCCTCGATGATGTCGTCGTACATGCGCGCAACCCTTAGGATGTCTGTCGCGAGCACGGCATCGGCCATGCGCGGCGGGAGGTCGAGGGGCGCAAACGTGAGTTCCTGCTCGGCAACGGTGGCCGGGCGCAGGAGCGAGTGCAGGGAGAGGAACCCGCCCAACCTGCCCGCGAGCGCGAGCTGGGCCTCGGCGACGCGCTCAGCCACGCGAGACTCAAAGTCCCGCTCGGCCGCTTCGCGCAGCTCCCTCTGCCTCGCGGCCGCAATCAGCTCGGCCTCCTCCACCTGCCGCATCAGGTCTTCCAGCTCGCGGATCGAGCCCTCCAGCACGGGCAGGTTTGCGACTGCGCTCCGCTGGTCGGCGTTCAGCGCCGAGGGGTCCTGCGCCGCGTAGCCGCGCACTCGTTGCTGCGTGTCAGCTCGTGATCAATATCACATACTTCAGCTGTCATGAGACCACGTCCTACTCACCACCTTCTTGTTCAGAGGGCGGAGACGCTTCGCGATGAGCTCCTCGACGGGCCCGCGCTCGGGCCGTTCCGTGTTGACGGGGACGCGCTCCTTGTCCATGATTGTTGTTGTATCTCGATGAGGTCAGAGGTCAGACGAGCTCTTGCAGCTGCTTGCTCGCTCGTTCGCTGGTCGCCGAGTCATGGCTGAGGCCAGACGCAGGCAAAGGACGTCACTGGATCTGGGGCTCCGGGCTATAACGCCGCGGAGTGAGGCACGTGACTGGGTCGTGTGGCGAAGGGCACTCAGTCGAATAGCGGCCTGAGGATGTTATGCATGCTACGGGGAGCTGTGCGTTGACGTTGTGCATAGAGGAGAGGTACCAGAGGTCATTAGTGGTTATGTAGTTGCGGGGATGGGGATGAATGTTGGGTCGAAAGGGACCGATACCAGGCGCGCGTGTGGGTTCCCCAGTCAAGAGACCATCCAGTAGGCCATCCGTGAAGCGCGAGGCTGCATTCGTACTTCCGCACATGGAAGCAGTGCCTCTGGGCCTGGTTATTTGTGCAATCAGAGGCGCACTCTGGTCAAAGCTTGTCTGTACTATGCGGTGCCTGCGAAGCCGTATTCCGTTATCCAGGAGTTATCGGGAAACCATCGTCTACCCAGTCGTCGGCACCCCGATATCTACGGCCTGGAGCTAGCTAACACACGCTAGAGGAGTAGATACACCTCGGCTCCCCAGTTTCTGTGCAAAGCAACATGGACCAAAATCGGCACTTTTCATCTGACAGTTTACAACCAAACAACAACCTATGCCACCAAACCGCTCAGAGCTTCGAGTTCCCACCCTTGATCTCAAACAGGCCCGCGACGCCGAATCCAGTCCCGGCACACATGGACGTGACGAGGAGGCCGCCTCCGCGCTTCTGCAGCTCCGCGGCACCAGTGGCGACCTGGCGGGCGCCGGTGGCGCCGAGCGGGTGTCCAAGGGCAATAGCGCCTCCGTTGGGGTTGAGGCGGTGCATGTCGAGTCCAATCTCCCTGGCGCAGTGGAGCGCCTGGCCGGCGAAGGCCTCGTTGATCTCAAACACGTCGATGTCGTCTGGCGTGAGGCCCGTCTTCTGCAGGAGCTTGGGCACGGCGACGGCGGGGCCGACGCCCATGATGCGCGGAGGCACGCCGGCAGAGAGCACTTTCACGACCTTGCCGATGATGGGGAGGCCGAGCTTCTCGGCGGCACTGCGGCGGGCGAGAATGACGGCTGCAGCGCCGTCGGTGATCTGCGACGCGTTGCCGGCGTGCGTCGTCCCGTTCTCCTTGAAACTGGGCTTGAGACCCGAAAGGCTCTCGGCAGTGGTGCCGTAGCGGATGCCGTCGTCTGTGGAGACCGTCACGCCCTCGATGGACACGGGGATGATCTCGTGCTCAAACTTGCCCGCCTTCTGCGCCCGCTCTGCCTTCTGGTACGAGCTGGCCGCGAACTCGTCGAGCTCCTTGCGGCTCAGCCCGTTCTCCTCTGCCACATTCTCGTTCGTGAGGCCCATCGGGATGAGGCAGTCCGAGGCCAGCTGGTGCGAGGCGACGACCGCGGAGTGCGGGTGGTCCAGAGGCTTGGGCACGTAGTGGTGCGTCATGCTCTCGCAGCCGGCCGCGATGCCGACGTCAATGTCGCCCTGCCTGATCTCATTCGAGATCGTCCAGATCGCCTGCAGAGACGACGAGCACTGCCGGTTGCACGTCGAGACGGACGAGGTGTAGGGAATACCTGCGGCGAGGGCCGCCATGCGGCTAATCGACGCGCCGCCGCGCGGCGTACGCACCGTCCCGACGCACACGTCCTCGATCAGGTTCGGGTCCACCTTGCCCGCCTTCATGGTCGCGGAGAGGACTTGCGACAGCATGTCCTCGTAGCGCGCCTTGGCCAGGCCGCCCTTCTTCGCCTTGGTCATCGGGGTGCGCTTCGCCGCGACTGTGTGTTAGCGCGGCAGAGTTGAGCGTCGTGCAATGTAACGTTGCCAGTGGAGCGCTCGCGCCGCAGTGATAGGATGATACGTACCAATAACGACGTCGTCGGGGGAGTCGCGCATAATCTCAGCCTTGCCCATGGTGTGTTGCTTTCAGTCGTGCAGAGAGGGGTAGTGCGGGAAGAAGTTCGCTGCACCTCTGTCTAGCTGCAGCCCATATATCGATCCGGCAATAGCTCTCCCCATAGTGCGTAGTTGCCCGGATATGACCGAGTGGTGTGGACCGAATTCCGACTGACCGTTCTCCACTCTGGGGCGGTCATCGCCGCATGTGTCGGATTACTCTGTGTCTAATCAGGTTTGTATTGAGCAAGAGTGTCGATTAGAGTTACGTATTAGTGGCCTTTGCCGACTGAGCTCGGAGACTTTGCGCTGCATGCCAAGTGTGCAAGTGTGAGGCAGCGCAATGGCGATCGTCTCGGCCGCGGGGCGCGGAATGCTCTTCCCTTTCAAGCGCAATTGACGAGAACTCACACGAGAGTCCCAGTGCCGCACACTCTCGCCGCAATCAACGACAACGGCGCACCCCACGTGTCTGTCTGACACCAATCTATACGCCGCCACTACATCCCTTATCAGGCCTTGTCCGGCGGCGTCTAAGCTTCTCAGCCAGACCAAGCCAGAAGATACACGAGGCAGTCACCTCCACATCCCCCGCACCTGTCTACCCCGCATCTGACATGATTGCCAAGACCTCACGGTGACCGGATCTTGCCCGTTGGCCCGTTGTTTGTGGTCCGGCGCACGGTCCTCGGTCCTTCGGTTCTTCAAGGTCCTCGTCATCGCAAACTTCTCAAGTACTCGGCGCTGAGCTGCGCTCAAGCTCTGTCAGCTCCGTGTCTATGACCCAAATCCATATCGATTCTAACTAACATACAATACCCTCGGAGTGAGGTCTATGCGAGTCTGTTTTTACGTTTGGCTCCGGCTCCGGCGCAGAGCGTCGATGCCAGGGTGTGCGGAGTGCAGGAGTGAGACAAGCGGAGGGCTGCCGTGCCATCACGATGCTATCACACGACCGCGGTTGCTGGGCGCCCCGAGGGCTCAGCACTCGCCATCGCTCGCCCTTCCGCCGACTCACCACTCGCTACGCTCGGCAGCTCGTGGTTCGCCAGCGTCTGCTCAGAGCTTGGCGTCGTTGGCAACGACGGCCCAGGGGTGCTCGATCTCGCCCTGCTGAATGGCAGACATGCGGTCGAGGACGGCCTTGGCAATGTCGCCCATGCCCTGGCCGGGGGGACCGCAGGGGATCTCAATGTCGCGGCCCTCGTATCCAATCTTGTCGACGGCGGAGACAACCGCCGCAGTGCCCGTTCCAAACACCTCGACGAGGGTTCCGTTCTTCTCGGCGTCGACCAGGTCCTGCATCACCAGCTTGCGCTCGCTCACCTCGAGCTTGTCGGGGAGGCCGGGGATGCGCGTCTTGCCCGAGGCGTGCTCGCGCGCCAGCGCCAGAGTGCTGTCACGCGTCACGCCGGGCAGGACAATGTCCTTGAGCGGCGGGGTGACGAGCTCAACCGTGCCGTCGGGCTTGCGGAAGGCGACGAACAGGTTCATCGTGCCCACCTCGGTGAGCTCGTGCTCGGGGCCGAGGAGCCAGAGGTTCTGGCTGTACCCGCGCTTCGCGGCCTCGGCCTGGGGCACGATGCCGGGGGCATAGTTGGCGCCGAGCTTGTAGCCGCCCGTTCCGCCGGGGGCGGCGCGGACAAACTCCGTGGTAGCGTAGAGCTGCACGGGCTTGAAGCCCGAGGCGTAGTAGGGGCCGACGGGGGAGCAGATGACGAAGAGCAGCGCATCGGACGAGGGACCGACACCGAGCGCCTCCTGCGTGCCAATCATCGTCGGGCGGAGGTACAGGCTGTAGCCCTTCTCGGAGGGGATCCACTTCTCGTCGAGCATGACGAGCTTCTTGATGAGCTCGATGAGCTCCTCCCCGTCAAAGGTCGGGAGCGCGATGCGCGCAGCCGACTTGTTCATGCGCGCCATGTTCATGTCCGGGCGGAACATGCGCACAGTTCCGTCCTCCGACTTGTACGCCTTGAGGCCCTCGAAGAGCGAGAACGCGTAGTGGAACACGGTAGACGACGGGTCCAGGCTCAGCGGCTGGTACGGCTTGATCTCGGGCTTGCCCCAGCCCTTCTCGCTGTTCCACGGGATCGTGAGCATGTGGTCGGTAAAGGTGTGGCCGAACACGAGCTGCGACGCCGGCGGCATCGTCTTGGGCGTCGTGGTGCGCTCGATCGTGGCGATCGAAGAGTCGAGCCCGGGCTTGCGGACGCTCTCGCCGGTGAAGGCGTCGGTCGTCTTGAAGCGCATCGCGGGGGCGAGGCGGGCGGGGCGCGGGAGGGCGGCACGCGACGACACACGGGTCGAGGCGCGCAGGGCGCGCGAAACAGAGTTCGACAGCATGCTTGCTGGAAAGAAAGAGTGGGGAGAGGGGAGAGTGGTGGGGAGAGGAGGAGAGAAGGAGAAGACACAATAATAAGTTGGTCAGTGGTGCCGGAAAAGCCAGTCGAGTCGTCTGAACTCACCCACCGTAGACTGGCCCGCGTTCGCACACCGCACAGGCTATCAGCGGCTTTGGCCTGGTGGGCGATATTCGCTCCAGCCTCCACCCAATCTCATCATTCCCGGCCGGGGCTTCTCCTCCGCGCCATGCGCCGGCCGAGATCACGTGATAAGCTTCATTGTAACGCACAGACTCGGCGAGATTCCGGTCTCGGCCTGATCGTCATGGCACAGTCACCCCCTCACGTCATATCTCTCATGCCAAGTCATGCTGCACGATATCCATTTCACCAACAGATACACGGGCGTCTGGCCGCCCAAACCTTTGTGGTGGTACTACAGAGGTGGTGTAGAAATAGGAAAACGGACACTTTCCGTGAATGTGATAATTGCTTGCTTGCTTGATTAAAAACGAGGTTGGAAAACGAGAGAGGGTAGAGAAAGAGTAAGAAGAAGAAGAAGAAGAAGAAGGGGGTAGAAGATGCAAATGAGTTGCGGCTTCACGCAAGGCGTGAGCGACATAATGCGTTTATGCTTTGGTTGGGGGGTTGCGAGTTGGGGGGATGGTGAAGAGTCTCATCGTCGTCGTCGTCGTCTCGTTCTCTGGGTGGGATTATACTTTGGAGTTTCTTTTCTCTCTTGGTTACTTCTTTGGCGCTAGCGAGGACGCTCGTCGCGGGAACAGGTTATCGGTTTCGTGTGATACTAAACACTACTCCATGTCAACGTCCGATTGTCGGCGTGTCCGCTGGCCGTCCATGCTGTCCTCGTCCGAGTACTCGTCGTCGTCCTCGACCGCCTCCTCGTTGTCCTCCTCCTCGACGTCGCCCATGCCTTGGTCCGCAAGGAACGACGCAGGCACGAGCGACTCGCCCGTGTACGTGAAGCCGCGGAAGTTCTCCTGCACCGACGACGTGAGCGGCGACCCGTTGATGTTCTGTGCCGGTGGCCGCTGCGACTTGTTGATCGCCATGCCGCCCGCCTGGCCCATGTAGGACGGGTTCGACAGACTGCCGCCAGGACCGACGTACTGGTGACGTCCGGGCTCGGGGCCGGCGTAGTGGTCGTCGTCGTAAATGTCGACACCTGCCTCGGCCAGCGTCGAGTTGGTGAACTCGGGGTCAAAGTTGGCGACACTCTCGTCCGAGTCGACGATGGGCTTGAACGGCGGCGTGATCTGCTTCTTGTACAGCGCGTCCCAGTCGATCGACTTGAAGAAGGGGTGCTCCTTGAGCTCGGCGGCGCCGCGCTTGGCTCCAAGACGGTTCTGCGGGTTACGGTTCAGCAGACCCTTGACAAACTGCTTGCCGTCGTCGCCAATGACGTGCTTGGGGAAGCGAATCTTGCCGTAACAGATGAGGCGGTACATCTCCTGCGTCTGCTCGGCGTAGAACGGCGACCAGCCGCAGCACATCTCGAACAGAAGCACGCCGAGCGACCAGAAGTCGACGTGTTTGCCGTATCCCTTCTCGTCGAGCAGGACCTCGGGCGCAAGATACTCGGTCGTTCCACAGAAGGTGTTGGTGAGCTGGTCGTTCGTGAGGTCGGGCTTGGACAGACCAAAGTCACAGAGAGCAATGTGTCCCGTGGCGTCGAGCAGAATGTTCTCAGGCTTCAGATCACGGTACACAATGTTGTACTTGTGCAGGTGCTCGAGGGCAAGGACAAGCTCGGCGATGTAGAAGCGCGCGCGATCCTCGGAGAAACGGCCCTCCTTCTGCAGGTGCCAGAAGAGCTCACCGCCGCACTTGTAGTCGGTGACAAAGTAGAGCTCCTTCTCGGTTTGGAACGAGAACTTGAGGCCGACAAGGAAGGGGCACTCGAGCGAGCGCTGCAGAATCTTGCGCTCTCCGATCGTGTGGGCGACCTCCTTCTTCGCGACGATCTCCTTCTTGGACAGGACCTTCATGGCGTAGATACGCTTCGTGTCCTTCTTGCGGACCTGGAACACGCGGCCGAACGTTCCACGCCCGATAAGCTTGAGGAAGTCAAAGTCGGACGGCTTCAGGTGCACCTTGTTACGGGTCGCGTGGAAAGTGGTCTGAATCCAGATCTCGCCAGTGACCTGCTCCGACTCGCGCGAGCCAATCTTGTACCACTGGTCAGTCGTGAAGCCGTCCCTGAGGGTGGGCTTGATCGTGAGCATGCCGAGGAAACCCTCGCCCGCCTTATTCCTGTCGTAGATGGACACAGACAGTTGGGACGTGTGCTGTGTCAGGTCGCTGTGGGCAGGGTTAGTCACTGCTAAACAAGGGCGTCACTCACAAGGTCACCTCCTCCTTCCAGATGGGGTCGCCCGGACCAGGCTTGCCGAACCAGGACCCGACCTGCTGCTGGTCTCCCGGCTGGGGTGTCCGGTTGCCGTCGTTGCTCTTCTTGCGGCCGATGGCGTCCGAGAATGCGCGCGTGATAGATCCCAGTCCGCCCGACGTAGCGCGGTTGACAGGCTGGGGCTGAGATTGCGTGAAGGGGACGTGCGAGGGGTTGGAGACGGGGTGCGGGGAGCGGGACACGAACTCGTTCTGCTCAAACTGCATGACGACGTAGGGCTGGGGGTCCTCTCCATCGGCGTGCTTCTGAACGGCGAGACCGCGGGCCTGGATCAGCTTGACGTTGAGCGTTCCACGGATGCTCTGAGAGGGGGTCTGGGGCTGATCCGCGGACGTGGGAGTCGTGGCCCCGTCCATGGACCGAGACACGCCGCTGCTAGTGTTGATGGCCTTGAGCATCTTGGGGGGCTCGTGGAGACCGAAACCGAGTCCTCCAACGCCGCCCATCGTGTCTCCGATCGTAACGCCAGTCGTGGCCGGGGCGGCACCAGGTGTTCCGATGGGTCCGAAGCCGACCGTCGTAGGGGTTCGTCCTCCGTTCGCGGGCGAGTTGGGGGCGTTCAGCGAGAGAGCCGACGTGGCCTTGGAGAGCGTGGGTGCGTTCGAGCCCTGGTGCGCGGACATGGTGTCAAAGGGGTTGGCGGTTTGCGAAGCCCTCGGTGTCGCTTGGTCAGCGGGACCGCCGAGGAAGGATGAAGAGGGCGCGAGGGTATCAGAGTCCCCAGCGTCCTTGGACGGTTGGGGCTGCTGAGCCTGTGCCGAAGATGGCCAAAGCTGGTGCTGATCAGTCAGTCGCTATGTCCAGAATGCTTTATGACGCGGGTGGCGCGCGACAGTCGTTCGCGATGTTCACAGAGGTTATCGCTCAGCTATCACGTACCTTGACGCCCTTGAGCATTCTTTCCTAGTAGCGAGGAGGGGTGGAGGAGGTTGAAGAGCTTGCTTTGAAAGCGTGTTGAGGGGGGTGACTACTACTCGCTACAGGGGTGACTGGCTGACGGCTGACGAATACAAAAGTGTTCAAGCCCGACAAAAACCAAATGAGCAGAGAGAATCCAAGTAATGGAAAACGCCGAGCTTTGTGTTGTCTCGTTGGCGGGCTGCTGCTCCCGTATGTGACAGCAGTGGAGGGGGAGTGAGTGGACGCGCGCGTGCGGGTGATCTGAGTCGTGGTTCTTGCGGTTCTGGGCTCCGACCGGCCTGTTAGGTCTCCTGGGGCGGTGTGGAGAAGAGGGAGTTTGGGCGGGGGGAGCGGGAACGGATCGAAGGCGGCAGCAGTATCGATGACGACTTTGCTGGAGACCCCGGTGGACAGTCGATTGGTGTCGTCGGCGGTGGGGGTTTGCTGTCGACGTGCGCGCTGGTTGACAGGTTAAAAGCTGTGGGGAGGAGTAGGCGTGGTGGATGGAACAAAGATTGAAGGGATCAGGCGGTGGCGAGGAGGGGAACAGATAGGTATGGCGGAGGGATGCGGGGGTGCGGGGGTGGATGGGACTACAGAGGTGGTGTAGAAATAGGAAAGATCGGAAGAGCACACGTCTGAACTCCAGTCACGCCAATATCTCGTATGCCGTCTTCTGCTTGAAAAA